TAGCTACAAAATGGTGGTATGAATCAAACCTGTTGTCATGCCACAGTTCCCATAACTTTACTACAGCTGAAATGGTATTGATTCCACACTGCACATTACTCGACATTCCCGGACACTTGGTTTCCATTGATGTGCTGTATTTCCAGTCATTACAAATCGGTGCTATTCTTAGCTCCGTTTCCACTATTTCTAGGCATGGCATTGCCATTTAAAATAATCCTTAGCTTACTGCATTTGTGCATTGTCACATCAATGTCTTGTCCCATCAAGCTAAGATAGTGCTATTTCTGGCCCTTGACTTGTGCATGTAATATCTGTCAATTCAACTCTGCAGAGAGACTGTATTAACATTGACATGCATTTCATATCAGGACATGCACTTTATTTTGAAATTTCGTAAAATTGTAACAAAATTGATGGTATTTTGAGTTAGAACATAATTGACAATTTATAAGTGTACTTTAATATAAAATTGAAATGGTGTTATATTGAGATATAAAAAAAAATTATCTTTTTTCTATTCAAAATTATCTTCCTTATGGAATTCGCAATTTTTAAGAATCGTGATGCAGTGACAATTTTTTTTATTTCTGTGAAAATTTGCTGGGATCTATTAACGTCCATATCTATTTGAATTCATCTGTCATAACTGCATGCATGTCAATTTTATGTTTTAAATTTATTTCCATTGTGATAAAAGCTTGAGATACGATCTCTCCATAAGCAGAACATGTGCTCTGACATTTTACTCCGAACACCTTGTGACTTTAACTTAATCGGAAACTTGGAACAAATTTGATTATATGCAGTTCACTTTCTGCACTGTGTCAACTCCAATCTTATTCAAACAGGCACAGGAATGAAGGACTACCTGCCACTGTCGAGATATTACATAATACTACAATTACTGTACTGTCTATCAGTATTTCATAGCATTTTCTAAAACCTGATTGCAACAATATTACAATTTCAAAGAAAATGACAACTTTACTTCTGTACATACATCATTATGAGGTAAAGGGCAAACATTGGTCAGCCATTAGAAGTTATTTACACACACTCATGTTTGAACATGTTGTATGCCTGACCCTTACTAGAACTGTCCTCAGAAAACAACCATACCCGCCCAAAACCTCCCAGGACTTCTTCCAGCTTTTCGAAATATCTTGCTTATCCCATCCAACATATCAGAAAACAAACATGAGATAAACTAATATCGAACAATATTTCTTTTTGCAAATAAATTTCCTCTTCATATCCTTCCTTATTTTCCATGACACTCTGTAGATTTTATCTTTATCTTCAGAGTTTCACATAGAGATAAGCACCTTTTATGCAATATGTCTGAAGGATAGAGTACATCACCTCTAACCCAAAAAAAGGAACTAGGCTTATTACATGAAATCAAAACAGTACTTGCAGTTTGTAAGGCTACTAAACAGCAATGTTTCTGAGTGGGTGTATTACCAGGCATGGGCTTATTAACTGTAATAATACCAATGACCTAGTTCTGTTTATATTTCTTAATGTCCCTATCATTCCTATGCTTTAACCCCCCAGCAGGGTATTGACCCGGTTATTACAACCCACAGGTAGATGTTAGAGTATCATTAGTCCACTGTACTAAACCTGTTATATCAAATCAATGAAATAAGTGCTGTCATGTCAGTAAATACACACTTTATTTGATTTTTCTTTGGATTTATTTTTTGTTACCCCCTCTATGAATTCGTGTATCCCCTTAATTAGTATATTCTTTATAGCTGTGTCGGTCGTAGTTACACGAGACATTCATCAATAATTAATTCTCTTTAATCTGTTCGATAATAAAACAACACATATGCAATAAATATTCATATATTTCTTGTTACTAATAAAATCAATACTTTTTTATCTGTGTTTCTCTGGGCAACAACATAATGAATCAATAATAAGTTTGTTTGTATGTGAATTAACGAGCTCGTAACTTCACCACTAATTATCGTTTCCTTTCTGCATGAAGAAACCTTGTTACATCTTTACTATATTGAATTGATAATCTCTAAAATGGAATCCTAAAATGATAATTTTCTAAATAAATTTTGTTCAATAAAGTTTTATTGACATTCGAATAAAACCAGAATTTTGCAAGTTATTTTGTGAATAAACTGTTTCCAGTTTCCATATGAAGCAGTTGCAGCATTCAGTTTTGTATTAGATGACTCACTCTTGACACTACTTCCTTCAATTCAAATTCCATCAGATCTCACCACTAATACTACAATCCATTCCAATTCAATCTGATAATCTCTAACCCCTCCATGTTCTGTTTGATATCATCCAGTGTTTGATCTGGACCATTCCATTACAGGTCATTGAGTGTTGCCAGGATAGAGATACCCATGACATAATTGTGGGTAAATTTGTAACACATCGAGGATTTAAAGAGATTAAAATAAAGGAAAAAAATCCCCTGTAAATGAGGTACAAAACTTGTCTTGTTTCCTGTTTGATATAGAAAATTGGCACAATCATTTAAAATTTAACTGGTGGTTTCAAATAACTTGGAAAAACATTATGTGATTCAAACTTACTGCTCAATCACTGATTGACAAGAGAAAATTCTTCCTGAAGAAGAGCTGCCAAAGGGTTGTAGAGAAGACAGGAGTGGAGATTTAATTCCAGATTAATACTTAATACTAGAAAGTTTTAATCTCTAATCTACCTAAAATGGGAGTAATTTTCCAAAGGCAAGAAATTTGCTTGTGAATCATCATTATCAAGCCGCAGATTTACGTGTTACAAGAACAAATTCTGAATTTAGTTGTAGAATATTAAATACGTTGTTTTAGCATGTCATCCATGCACACTATAATCTAACATTTTCTGTGGAAGTGCCACATACGCTTTGTGTTATAGGGTCTACAACTGTATGTTATTCATGATGATATAACGATTTCCCTTGCTATTTTGATTTTCCCTCAGGGTTTATTGTGTTTTTTCCTGCTGTAATTACTACTGTGTTTATATATTGTTTTATTTCTGCCAGATAATTCAATCAACAGAACAGCTTTCCAAAGGACAGGAAAAAGGAGAGAGAGAGAATTACATGAGCAGCCATTGCCTTTGGCAGCTTTCTTCAAGATTTTTTTTTTTTTACAATTCTTTTTCATGCTTCAATTATTAGATTAATTAAACACCACACACAAGACAGAGGCATCTTAAGATGGCAGCTTTGTAATTAATGATTAGTTCTGAAACATCAGTTAATGAATATTCCCTCCATAATGAGCACTCCTGGAATATCTTTTATCATGATATAAAAAAACAAAATTAACTGGCAGAGCACCGCTTATGGCGCTGTTGTGGATGTCAAGTTAATTTGCAATCAGTCATGGCCTGGAGAACAGAGTAATATAGAATTGTTTGATTGCATGTCGAACGACCATCCCACGTCCAGAGGAGTATGTGTGCTGGGGACAAGAACTGACTGAACTGAACTGGACTCCCTTGTTAGATAGGACTTCAACACACTCAACAACATCAAAACTGGGGCTGATTTAAAAATGGACAGACACTTGACCATTCCACAGGTGCAGGATAGGAAAATCCTTATCATGATTATAGAAAGGAAAACAATGTTACAGGGAAATGTACAAGTGAAAGCATCCAAATTTCCAGATCTAAGATAACTGCCTACATATCTTATATTAATTGTTCATTTGCCAGGTCTATGGAAGAAGATTTCTGTCGAGTCAGTGCCAAAAGAATACGGATAAAATCACATGCAACACATTTGTATATCCTACCTATATACACATGGGCTACCTGAAAAGCAAATCACACACAAGGAACCATCAAATGAGGAGGGCATACCAAATGATGTGTGAATAATTCATGTGTATAGTTAACCTTATCGTAGACATTGGAGCGTGAAATCATATTCAGTTTATAGTTTTAATGACCAGTTATACAGAACACCGAATGAAAATAGGAATTAAAAGGCATGTTTGTCTCGCCTGAGGTCCAAACACCCTGATTTGAACCCCAAAAGAACCAGCCCATCCCAATCCTACAGTCTACAGCCTTATGTAGTAATGATAGTAAACACTGAATTCTGCATTCTTTTATGTGAAAGAAATCTAAAAAATTTAATTCATTGGTAGTGTAATCCATCTACAAATCTTGTATCTTGTTTGTGTTGGGTGTTATAATCTTACAGGAATGTAGTTGTGAGATGGTATACCTGTGCTAGTTTTACCTGGACTTGTAAGACAGGTTACAAGCTACTGATAGATACAAAGGAATGTCCAGAATTAAGGTAAACATTCCAAAGAACCTAATATCTCGTTATCTTTTCTGAAAGGACAAAATCCACAATAGACCACACACACCCCTCCCCCTCCCAAACACACTCTCTTTCCCTTCCCAATGTTATGTGTGAGATATACATATAAAAACCGACCAGCTTTCTTAACCCCTAGGTTTAATTTTTCATACCGACTCCTACATCTTAATTAATGACTCTATCTTTTTGACTCATGTCCAGTACTTAATCGTACGTCCTTACCTTGGAGCAAAAATGTTGTAGGTCCCAAGTTGCTATATAAGAAATCTCTTACACTGACCGAGAGTACAAAACAATGTACTGTACATCTGACCATTGATGACAAGGATTGACCTGTTGTCTTGTCGGCTAATGACTTACCTATCTGTCTTACCTGTGATGGGCTGAAGTAAAGTGCACACCTGTGTGTATATACCTGTGTCTACCTGTAGTATGGGAGATCTACGGCTTATGTGATAAACGTGTCCCTTTACATATCCAGCCCTAGATACACACTCTCATTTGAGTGGAACTAATTTCACCTGGATTTTATATAGATATGGGTAGGATTACAATGGGTAGAGGAAGACTCAGGGTTGGAAGGTATGGTGGGCATTGGGGTGTGGACAGGACAGTCATGCTGTGGGAGGTGGATTTTAAATCAACTTTTTAAAAAACGTTGTTGGGTACGTACCTGTAGGTAGGGGTGGTACTTCAGATCAGGCAGCATCCGTGCTACTTTATATTCCACCATATTTATCACAACTATATTCCCATAGAAGGGTCCACCAAACGAAAATATTCCAAACTTTTACACAGGGGCTTTAAACTCAAGTGTTTTTTTTATCCCAAATGTTAACAATGAAGAGTTCTCCTAGCTTCACCACTTTATAATTGTAAGTATGTCTCCAACGGGTACGAATAAAACAAATCACCAGAGAGTCAGTTGTGCGGAGTTATCTTCTCATTGTCCTGACCGTTTTCATATGTATATTGCAGATTGGGAGTGATGTCGTACTGGACACTTGACAGCACTGTGGAGATACCTGTACAGTCTGAGATTTCACCCCAGGGTCGTTGGGCTACAGGTGAATGGCAAACTAAATTAGGAAGGAAAGAAAAGAAAATCCTCATAATACCAGAATCAACGCTGGACAGTGTATGTATAGTTGTATAAATGTTTGGTGTGCCGCCGATCACAAGTTTTAATCACTTATCAGTGATCAGGTATTGATCTAACCCACAACTGTACCCCTAAGGCCTGTCACGGCTCCGTCATGGCTCAAGTCCAATCAGAGATCACACGGCCATAACAACAACAACTATCTCACATGGCCTGGTCACCGTCCATTCTTACTCTCCTTTCTTAATACCGTGAAATGTGCGTTCATTCACCTAACAAACACACCTCATTAATTTTCTATGTAATTGCTTTTATATCGTCAAAATATTTTTATCCTTTAGAATGATTCAAATATTTTCTTCGTGAGCAATATGACAATTAATTATTTTTGAAGATTAAACTTAAATCAGAAATATTTATCAGCCAAATATATTCTAGTGATTTAAGATTAAAAACTTCTGAATTCTTTTGTCATCAAAACTTCATTAACAATTTAAAATGCTGAAGAAATTTTTGAAAAGTATTTTGTGACTTGAAAGTGAGAAAATTTGAAAAAATTGACTATAAACTCTGTAGAGTACACATTTCAGGGTAAAAATTATAGCCTGATTCTACAATCTTCACTACTCAACCATAACATTAAAATCAGATGTGAAATTTAACGTTAAAAATTGGACAGATTTGATGAAAAATAAACAACTTCACAGCCACTAAATTCATACACATGAAACTCACTGTAAACATATCAATATGGCCATTCTATGTAACAAAAAGCATCTGTACCCATTTAGAAACAGCCTTGAAATTAAGAACTAGTAAACACCTCCGCATTCGTCTTTGCTAACCTGGCCTGTTTGTTCTAATGCTTCACTTCAGTACGAAGTAATCACCTCCTACAAGCGCAGTACTGCTCTCCCAGGATCCTTAGCCAGCTAACCTGGTTCCGGCTATTTGTTTTCTCTACCAGCAGATATATTTCAATTTACAAGATATGGATGTACCTGACAAAGATATCGGTAACTTTTCTCTGTTCAACAAACAACAAGTGATTCCATGTACACGGTAATTTTGCTGCTGTTTTTGTCAGAGACCGAAAACAATCACAACCAATGAACACACTCAACAACAAGACCACAACATATAAGCCTTCCTCCAGGAGCAAACCAATCACCCCACAAAAAAACCAAATCGCTCCATGGATCAGACTTCTCAATTCACTCATCTAATATTTTCTTATAAATTTTAATTTTTCAGCAAATTGGAACAAATGCTGATAGTCTAATCAGGAGTTGTTAACAGGAGTTGTTAACACAAACTATCTTGAGAAGACAGTCTTCAAAATTCAAATTGAATCAACTATTTTAATCAACTATAAACATTCCTTTTCAAGTATAAAGTACAGCTGATCATCAAATTTAAAATCTACTGTGACAAAACCTTAAATTATCTTTTCACACTGCAGCAAAATTACAGTATCTTGCGATATCGATATCCAGATTGTAAAATATAAGTACAGTTGAAGTCAAATTACAATACTGGTCCAATGTCTGCCCTTCTAACACATTTTAAACCTACAGAGAAAGCAACAATATTTTCCCAAACTCACAAGAGAATCACGTTGTTTCATCACAGTTGTCCCTGCTGTGTTCTCGTCGCCTTACTGGTGCACTGAGCAGAATGAGATTGATATCGGACAAGTCACTCCGACATGCATCCCATCCCGCACGGACTGACAGGAACAAGCCTGTAGTAGCTAGGGGTCCATTATTAACATACCTCAGTCAATAGTCCTATCTCATTAGTCGCTCCGTCTTATATAACAGAATATTTTTACATACTCTATCCATTAAATTCATTGTTGCCATTTAAATCCTGAGTTCTTGTTTCCCTGGGGATATACTGTCTTATGTTAATTAATTAGAACTAATTCAAGTTTTCAATAAAATCTGTCAGCAAACTTGAATGCATTTCAGAACATCTTATATACAGGTATCTGTTCTAAGTATTTTCCATCACAAAAAAAGCTTTGTATCAATATTTATGGAGTTTGTCATTGGTTTTAAATACTTAAATTATTCTATTGATATCGACACTAAGAACTAGTATTAATGTTAACAAAGGGTAGCAATAAAAAGCTGCTGAGCATTTTTGAAGAATAAAATGCACCTGCTATTATATGATTATACCTGTAATATATAGTCGCACCTGACCTGAGAAAAAACTGACTGAATCCCTTAACGAGATTTACACTGTTTATCTCAGGTGTATCAGCTCCTAAAGAACCTCCCTAAATAATGCATGTGATTTCACGTGTAGGAGTACCTTAATAGATAATCAATTAAGTCCTGGTTAATGTTACAGCACCTGATAATGACTTCTCCCTACCTCGGGATCAGATAACAACTTCTCCCTAACTGATATATCACTTCTTATCTTATCTTATATATATATACATTTTTTTTTTTCATTTTTCATTTTAATTTTTTATAATACATCCTATGCCTTACTGAGTCAATAAAGCAAAAGACTCTTATATTTCCTGAACACCTGGTCTGTTCTTCTAATACATTATTAGGAGTCCCTGTAAATTTTTTTTTTTCATGTTTTGCTTTATCAAATCTGATTTAGAATTAGGATTTTACTGTCAAATTGGAATTTCCTTTGCTGTTTTGGCATTATATCTTCGTAATTTCAAAAATGAAAATTCTTTTAGTTTAAAAGTTTAACATTTGTAATCTGCTGGATTGTTTATTAATTGTGTACAGGTGACATACACGTACCTACATGTACACCCTAAACAGCAAAAGATTGCACTTGAATGTTGTCACATACTACAAAATACCCTGAAGATATACAGTTGTCACTTTCAACTGATTCTGTTTGTTCCAGGTGAAAAATGTGTTTTATAACTGTGCAAATATTTAATGTCTACCAGTAAGGGCCTAGAACTACAAGGTGATAAATATATCAACTACAGACAATACCCGTTACAAAGTTTAACATTCTGTTCATTATCGAGACTGCTCGTATTTCTTTGATTATTCCTTATCCGCAGCCATGTTGTATTTCGGGGTCTTTTTGTGTACCTTACCAAAGGAAATCTATATCATTTCAACAATATTTACTTAAACTTATAAAACTATTTTGACAATCCCTCAAATAAAAAAAAAAAAAAAATTCAATTTTTTATATTATATCATAAAAATATCTTGAATAAGACAGTTTATTTCTTCAAATAAACACTTAAATAAAGTTTTCTTTGTCAGATTGATTAATCAAATATATGAGCTGTCAAATTCAGACATATTTGAACAAAAAAAAAACTAGCCACCCTTTCGATAATCATTTCATTCAATTCACTTCATTCAAATATCACTATTAAAATATTTCTAATGCGCGTAAAAATGAATTAGCATTGTTAGAGGAACGTTGATCGAAGTACGTACAGCAAAATTGTTCATTATCTCCACTGAAATAACCAAGCCACATTGTCAGAACATATGAGCATGAATAGATATTTCTGTTCTGTTTCTCATCGACAGAAAGAATGGAGGGCCAACTTCATTATGTTCATGTCAAAACTAACAATTGATGTCTAACTACCTAGCCCTTAAAAAATGACATTTGTATGAATCAATACATGTTCCTTTTTATTGAGTCACCTCTAACTTATCAATAAAAGAATGCCTTCCTCACTAATATGGCGGTGTTTCTGACCCTAATGCGAACTAAACATGATGTCTGATACAAGATAACAATTTTATTTTCCTAATTGCTTTTTACATATTAAGAATATACTGTTTCTTTTATACAGATCTATTGATTCTAGAGAGAGACTAACCTAATTCTTCTCCCTAGTGTAGTTTTTATTAGGATTGCTTTGGTAATCCTTCAACATTATAGATTTCCCAATTTTAAAGCATTATGCAAAAGCCTGTTGCATTTTAATAAAACCTGTTTCCATCAAAAGCAGAACATGGGAGGATCCGAGATTATTGACTCCCAGGAACATGGAAGAAAAGATACAGTAACTTCTGGACATAATGAAGAATTTAGAATAATTACAGAGTACAGTCTGGCACATGGCCAGCAAAATCTCCATAACACAATGGCCTCTCCTAATCCAATGTGTAAGCAAGCACGCAACACTTGCTACAATTCCACAAGACAAATATTTTCACAACCATTCACATCCAAATCGGAAACTTTGCCGTCGACCCCTATAATGCCTATCCACTGAAGATATTAAATGACCTAATCACTGCTTTTGCTTTCTTTTCAAATCAAACCCTGAATAAATAGTGCCTGTCATTCTAGCTTGACCGTAATCTCAGTCATCATATGTTTTTTTTTTTCATTATTTAAAAAGTCTGGCAATATCTGAACATCTTGTTTGCTAAGGTGCATGTCACAGCATATGCAGGATATACAATACGTCATTCAAAAATAACAGATGAACAGAAAAAGGTTGTCTGTAATACGCGGAGACCCGCACATATAAAATATATCACTAAATGGACACATAATCTCGCAAGAAAAACAGGGTTACGATGGTTGATGTATGGGCTGGGATTTGTATGGAAGGGCATAGTATTGATTCATTATGTAAGGCTATAGAATGTGTCTATCTATAGGGGCAACTGATCTTTTAATCTGTGTATAAGTTCCCCAAACCACACAGCAGAACAGGCTATGAAAGTTGACAACTAAATTGCAATGTTCTGAGCTCCCTTTTGAAAAAATAAATACATCACTGACATTTACAGGTCCATTCTGCTTTCAATTTCTACCAAATAGAACGATAAAAACACATTTTATACGACATTCCGGTGTACATTTAAATGGAAGTGTGACTAGCTCAATAACACAGTTGTAGTACCTTGCTTGAAACTTGAATTTCTAACATAACAAGAACGCATTTTATGGTAAAATTCAATTTTAATCAATGAAAATGTGAAATCAGCATTTTTTTCCCCC